TGGGCTAAGACCAATAAAAGTTCATCTTGAAGGAAGTAATTGGAATTTGAATAGCCTTGACAGGTTACATATCTCCAAAAAGGAACACTTATTATTTTTTGCCCTTCATTGTGTTCCTCTACATGATATTCAGTGAAATGATATTAAAGGTTACATCAGTAGGGCTTTAATCAGGAAAGCAGAAGCTGTGAGTAATACAGAATAAGGGATTTATTATAGGGATTAGATCTTATACAATCAAGGGAGAAGCTGCGGAAGCAAATGTCCAGAAGGGGAGGGTTGGCTGAGCAGAGAAAACTCCTAACCAGGACACACGAGAGGGAGCTGGTGAAAAAGTCTATAGAAGGCCGTTGACTCTGCATCTGACTGGGCCTGGAGCGTGTCAGCAGGGCAGGTGCTCCAGCAGCAGGTCAAGAGGCGGGCAAAAGGAAAGCTGGGTGTGCAGTGGAAGACAGCAAGAACAGAGGGGAAGCCCTGAGGGCAAACTGGAATCCACGGGGACAAACTGCCACGTACATCTGTCTCTCACTGCGTGGAACCCCAAAGCCGCAACGCCCTGCAGAAGAAGCTGGTGCCGTCGCTGCAGAGCTGCACGTGTGTGCCCAGCCCAGGACTCAGAGAACCTGAGGCAGGACAACCAGCAGGAGCTGGAGAGGCTGCGGGTCCAGCTGCTACCCCACGCCCAGGTGAGCGAGCTGATGAGCAACAATGCACGTGACCTGCCCGGAGCCTGACACCCTACACCCACCTGTCTAGTGCAATGACTGCAGCTGCCCTTCTGCCCTCCGAATCTCATGGAAATTTCTCTGTTGCCAAATCTAACCTAGAATCATTCAGAGAAGTGTAATTCCAGCTTAACTAAATTGATAGTACAAAACTACCACAGCGATAGACTGTAACTGAGATTAAAAAAAAGAAAAAAAAAACCTGTAGAGATGATATAATTCAATTCTTTCTTTATAAAGACATGAAAACTGGGGCCCAGGGGGACAATGGCTTGTCCAATGTCACAGAGCCTAGAAACTCAGTCCCATGTGTCTCATCTGGGTGATATCACAGAAAGAATGCTGGATGTGAAGCTAAGACACCTGAGATTTTGCCACTAATTAATTGTTTAGCCTTGGAAAAAAAATCACTCAATTTTGGATTCAAGTTTTCTTGAGAGAGAACAGCACATGGGCTAGGCCCAAAAACTTGAAGGTGCTCAGTTGATATCTGACGAATAAATGAATAAATATAGTCTCTGAAAAACAACCATTTTACAAAATTGTTCTATTTCCTAGCATAAAAGAAAAATTGAAACCATGCTCCTGAGCCTCATAGTGAGGCATTCTTATATATTCTCATGAAATTTATCTGGGACTGGAATGAATCACCCGGGCCCTTCCTCCTTTGCACAAGTGAGATTTCCAATCTCTCAGCCGTGTAGCAGTTAGACTCTATATTCTTCTTGTCACCTCATTGTGGCTTCTACTTGATCCTTTCTGTCTGGGCTTTTCAAGAGGAGTCCAGTACCGCAAAGCTGGAACAGCAAGAATCAAAAAATGGCAGCAGGAAGAAGCTGGAAGAATATCAGATTTCTAGCTACGTATTTCCGTTTTGCTCACACATCTGCAATTTGGGCAGAGTTCAGCAGGAAAGGCTCATCTCTGCTGCATGTGGCATCGCCTGGGCATGTGGTGTCTCAAAAAAGTGGAAATCGTCTAGAGGATGCTCACTTAAGCTGGGGCTATTGGCTAGAATTTCTACACATGGATTCTCCCCGTGGTCTCTCTGCGTCCTTGTGGCATGATGATTGGGTGTGAGAGCAAGCCTCCCAAGAGAACCAGGTGGAAACTGTATCGCCTTTTATGACATGGACTCAGGAGTTACATATCATTTCTGCCAGTTACAGACACTCCCAGATTCAAGAGGAGGAAATATAGGTCCCACCTCTCAATGAGAGGAGCATCAGCATTACATGTTAAGAGGAGCCTGAAGGATGGAGTAGCATATTGCATGCCATCTTGGAAAACGCAGTCTACCACAAGCAGTGGTCAAAACCCACAATGAGTTTATAAACACAGAGCTTGTCAGCTAAGTGAGCTCTTGTCCAAAAATAACCCCAGAAATATGTTTATGCACACATATATAAATGCATACACATATGCATACATAACAAGGACTTGGTAAATGAGGCTAATTCTTGGATTCAACTTCCTTCCAAGATATTTTCAGTGTTATGCCTGAGGATAAGGGCAGGGAACAGGGCCATTCAATTAGTTTAAAATCAAAGTACTTTTCCCTCATCATCCGTCTCCTCATTGGAAAAATAAATCAGGCTGCTGAATTTTGGACCCACACCATTTCCATGGTAACAAAGCCTAAAGTGCTAAAAGGTGGATTATAATTCTTTGCAATATTTAAGAAATCCATATTTAGTCTGTGTGGTGTTTAAAAGTGCACTTAGTAGTGGTGAATGCCATTACCACGAATCCACGAACACACACACACACACACACACACACACAAGCAATATGAATGTTTAAAAAAATACCTCAATTTATACTAAGTAGACCATAAAAATAGGGGGAAATGAGTAAAAATGAGACTGTCCAGTTTGGTATTCTTAGATCTGCTTTGAGCCAAATTTTCTTGTTTTGATTTTGATCTCAATTAGGTGGGCTTTAGAAATAATCTGACCATTTAAAGCCTGGAGATGGAGAAAAAGTCAACCATCATAGGTATAGAAGTGAGAATAATTACAGTGTTTGGAAACTACAAGTATTTCAGTGCAGCTGGAGAGTAGAGTATGTCTAACACAGAGTTTTGTTTTTAATGTTAGGACTTTTAATTTTGAAGTATTTCAAATATACAAAAAATAATATATCTATGTACCTACCCCTATAGTTAATATATTATATAGTTAATAGCTATTACTGATTTCCCATATTTTTCTCAAATCTCTTTTCTTTCTAAATAAATACAATATTAACTATTTCGTTAAAACCTTACCTGTCCATCCCTTTACCTTCCCTCCCTGCCCAGAAATCATTATCATCCTGAAGTTCATGTGTGACATTCCTTTGTACATTTCTGCATATTAGTGCTTATGAATGAATCCCTTCATTGTTGTACCTTTGTCCTTTAAAAATTTGTATAAATGTGGGGCCGGCCTGGTGGTGTAGCAGTTAAGTTCATGTGTTCCTCTTTGGCTGCTGGGGTTTGCTGGTTCAGATCCTGGGCGTGGACCTACTCACCACTCATCAAGCCATGGTGAGGCAGCGTCCCATATAGAAGAACTAGAAGCACCTACAACTAAGATATACAACTATGTACTGGGGCTTTGGGGAAACAAAAGAGGAAGATTGGCAACAGATGTTAGCTCAGGGCCAATCTTCCTCAAAAAAAAAAAAAAAAGGGGAATTCCAACAGTTTAAAAAAAATTTGTATAAATGGTATCATAGAGTATATGTCCTTTTATAACTCATTTCTATTGTTCAACATTATGATTTTTATCTTTAGCCACAGGGTATAAACATGCCATAAGGAGAGTGGAGATGAGCATTCAGTATTGCACAGATAGTTCATCATTTATTCAACGAAATTTATAGTTCACCTGGAGAGTGAGTTTATGGTGACAGTTTTTGCATTTGTAGAAAATGTTAATGATATGCAGACAGGACTGGACAACAGAAACTCAAGTGAACACAAGGAAAAGACAATATGGTTGTTTGTACCCCAGTCCGTCCATTTCTGAGGGCCAGGTGCTTTCTCTTATAATCCATCCTATGGAGGCAGTTACCGGGGCTGCACGGTCTTTGGTGATGATACCATAGAAGTCTAGTGACTGCCCAGGAGGGAGTCTATCTAGATGGGGGTCTAGACTTGTGCAGGCATCGGGGAGCCACATCTCTGAGCTTCCATCAGGGAACCTTGGTGATTCCTCGTGTCTTACGCTCCTCTCCCCCTCCCATCCCAGTAGATCTTCTCTCCTACTGGTGACTTTGCACTTGGCTGGCGTGAATCTGTACGCCACAGGCTGGGAGAGCCAAGGGACTAGGGGGATGACATCCATTTGGGCTCTTTCGGCCCCTGCCACATGCACACCCTGCTTCCATTCCCTGCCATCAGAAACGCCTCACTTGATGTTCTATTCAATTACCAGTTGCAGTTTGATGGATTCAGTAATTTCTAACTTTTTGTACGTTGTTAAAATAAAGGAACTAAAGGGGTGTTCATTCTCAAGACATGAAATTGAGTCACTGATTTAATATCAGATATACGTGAGCTATTATGTGTACTCCATCTCTCTTCTCTGTTTGCCATATTACTCTCTCAGTGTCTCAAAGAAACTCCTTACATGCAGAAGCTCTCTCGAAAAATAAAAAAGGGACTGCACACACATTTTACCTTTGAGGTGGCATTTACTTATTCAATAATATCTATCAGATTAAAGTTATATTGACCTCATGTCACTATCAGCTCATTATATTTTACTTCTGTTGCATTTCTGAGTATGTTAAGCTAAAAGCAAGTGACTTCATGCAAATTAAACTGCAAGAAGCTTTTTAGATCATGTTCACATACGAACAGGTTTGATAAGTATATTTGTCTAACAAGGGTAGGACAAACAGCTCTTTGTTTACTGACATACTTTATTGTCGTTCCACTGTACACCTCTCCTCTCGTGTGGCTGTTTTATAGGACATAAAGTCTAGGTATCCTGTCGGAATCTCAGATATTATTTATAGCTTGCTACAAAGTGGCTTATTGTCACTTACTATTTCTTATTTGATTTATATAGCATCTTTCCACCAAAGAGCCCAGGGTTTATTTACATAAAGGGTACACACACACACATACACACTCACTTGAACTTCACTCAGTGCTGTCAAGTAGTTAGCAGTATAGCACCAAAAATCTGTAGGTTTTTCATTTGTTTTATGTTCCCAGACCATGTTCTGGGACGGCAGTCACCATATTTCCTTTCACTTTGAGTGTTTATTGTTTACCTCCAGGTGGATCGGATCATCTTCTGTGTCTTCTTAGAAGTCGACTTCAAAATCTACAAAAAGAAGATGAGCGAGTTTTTCCCTGTAGGTGAGTAAAGCAATTTGTTTCCTTACAATTGAGGATTGAAGAAGTGGAGGCATCGCCTATAGTATTTCTGTTTCATTTCGCATCTTAAGGACTGTCACAAATGTGATCTCCCTACACCAGTCACCCCTGGCAACTTGTGTCATACTTTTTAAGAGGTCAAGGAGGTGATAGGAATTCTAGGCCCTAGACCTCTCTGTCCCATGAGGTCATCGTGTTGTCTTGGGGAAGTCACTTCATCTTTTGAGTCTCAGTTCCTCATATCAAAGGTGAGGGGCTGGATAAGATGATTTCTAAAGACTTTTCCTCTGGCCCTAAATTGCATGATCTGTGATTTCCTCCCCACACTCGTAAATTGTCTAGGCCTGTGCCTACATCCACCATGTTAAACACAGTTGTTGGAAATTGTTAGGAGCCCATTTATACTTGTAGCCAGAATTCAAACTGTTCCTGCATTCCATCCCTATTCCGTACAATTTTCTCGGCCCAAATTGCAATGAAGATAGCAGCACTTCTAGGGCAATATGAGAAAGGTAGTCATTCATCCTATTTCACAGTTCTTTTGAGAATGTAGAGAAAACTTCAGAGTTATTAAAGAACCTTGAGTAACGGATTTACATCAATTCAATGTGCCATTAGTTGGATTAGGTAATTTGAATATATCCCCCCACTGTCCCTCTTCTAGCCTGGGAAGGCTTGTTTAATACCTTGTTATTTTTATGGTGCCATTAAAGTCACAATGCTTAAAGCCCTTTCCTCAGCCATGGTAAGAATGGCTTCCAGGAAATTTCAAGCACTGTGAGCATTGTTGGTGCCTGCCTTTTAGACAGCTTTCTTTTGAGGTTTTCACATCCGTTTGAAGTGGCTTTTCAGGTAGCTGGTGATTCCGGCGGGTAGGAAGGAGATTGGAGGGTGCTGCCACACATGCGCCCTCACGCAGTCTATGAGAGCCACACAACAAGGAGGATGCCTTGCCTGCAGGTCACAGTAGGACGCGGGTAGCTGTCAGGAACAGCTACACAAAACTGCCAGAGATGTTCAACCCTGGGCTCATATTCAAGGTGGACTAAGTTCTTCTGGGTAATTTGAAGTACTTGTCTCTAATTTTACAATTGAAAGGTGAATCTGCTAAGTGTACTTAATTTGGGAGTTGAACTACAGTGTTTCTCTAACTGGAACACAACGTAAATTCAGAAAGACTCCCGTGTGATGAAGAAGAGGACTGTGATTATGGTCTTTTTTTCCTCCTTTTCCTTCTCTTCTTCCTTTTCCTCCTCCCTCTCCTTTTTTCATCTTTCTCCATTTTTTGAGCAACTCGGTGTTTTACAGAGGGTAAAGCACATAATAACTATTTAATAAGTAGCTGTTGATATAAGTTGAATTCAATAAATTCTTCTCTCCATAATCTGATGGCTTTTTTCTCTGTTTCAATCTCCTTGTTTCATCTTTTCTTGTTATTTCTCATGTAACCACAGTGAGCTGATTGTGCCTGCATTTCTTTGTTTTTAAGCATTCTTAAAAGAAAGTGTTCATTCATGTAAAAATGTGACTTGCCATGGTGTGTGATGCAAATATTCTCATTTCTTGTCAATATCACAGCATATTTTATAAGATTTTATAAATTTTGGACTTCTTGAGATGTTTAGAAATGATGACATAATATTTATTTTCATGTCTTCTAAAATTAAAACTTGTTTTCACTCTAATATATGATAAAATATAATTTCATAAATATGATCCATTGATATCAAAACAAATCTATCCAGCATCAGATATTTATAATGATCAAGGCCAAAAATCATACTACAAGTTTTTTAAAATGGGCCAGTTTTAGTGGTGCAGAATGTATTTATAACTATACCAATAAATTATTGTTTGAAAAATTGCTACTCTAAATAAATCCAAAATGCATCTTAGTACTTGAGCAAGTAAAATAATAATAAAATCATTTTCAGTTTCACATCAAAGCTTTGAATCATGGTATGTTCAAGAAATTATTTCCAGAGCATATTTATAACAGCAAGTACATTTTTAAACTAAATGTCAAAATCCTCCAAAATTGTTGAGTATTTCTGCAATGCTGAGGCATCAGCCATTTGTAAATTCTACATATGCAATATGAAATAAAGATGACGTCTGATGGAGTATGTAACTGTTAATATAGATGATATATATTATGTGTCCATAATCTGAATTTGTGGTTAACTCATAACCATACCATCTTTGATTGGAATATAATTTTCCTGACTTGCCATATATTCCCTCTAGACAGACTTATTAAGTGTATCTCTAACTAGTCTTCTTAACCCTTCCCAATGCAATAATGATAATAATCTAGGGAAAAAAGTCATTTTTATGTTAATCTCTTCATTTCAGGGTACTTGAATCCCATGTCTTTAAATTTCATAATCAGGTATCTGAGACAAAATGTACGAGAAAATAATACAAGTTAGACTATAAAAGATCGTATTCAAGATATAACACATGCATAACTACCACCTAATTTTTTGTGTGTGTGTGAGGAAGATCAGCCCTGAGCTAATATCCGATGCCCATCCTCCTCTTTTATGCTAAGGAAGACTGGCCCTAGGCTAACATCTGTGCCCATCTTCCTCTACTTTATATGGGATGCCACCACAGCATGGCTTGACAAGCAGTGCGTCACTGCGTGCCCAGAATCCGAACCTGTGAACCTCGGGCCACCGAAGCAGAGCATGTGCACTTAACTGCTGCACCACCGGGCCAGCCCCACTACCACCTAATATTAATGATAGGAATAATTGGTAACATTTATGGATTGCTTTCTATCAGTCAGATACAAAGGGTAAATCAGTTAATCTTCATGATAACTCTAAGAAAGTGGCACTGTATTAACCATATATTTTAGATATGGAAAATGATACGTATCTGAGAAAAGTGAGGCATACAGCTAGGAAGTAACAGAGCTATATTTTAAAATTGAGAATGGCATCTGTCATGGCACAAGTGATAATAGATTAGTTTCTCCTCAGGGCGTCTTCAGAGACAGATGAGTTCAACTTCTAGGATGCATTTGGAACACTGACAAAGTCTCACTCCTAATTTCATCTGCTGCCCATTATTTTTCAAAGCTGCCGTGCTTCTCTTTCTTCCAATACCTATAAATGTCCTATGGAAACTTTTCTAATATGAGTCAAATTGGTACTTTATCATGGATCTCAAAATCAAATTCCATCCAAATCATCCAGGCAGTGTGGTGCTGTTACCTGCAGATGAGCAGGAAAGTGGTCACCAGAAAGCCACAAGCTTACAGCATGACCTTACAGCATGACCACAGGGGAAGATGGAAACGTGCCTGTATCCATTTGCTAGGGCTGCTGTAACAAAGTACCACAGACTGGGTGGCTCAAACAACTGAAATTTATTTTCTCATAATTTTGGAGGTTAGAAGTCCAGGATCTAGGTGTCAGCAGGGTTAGTTTCTTCTGAGGTCTCTCTCCTTGGCTTGTAGATGGCCACCTTTTCTCTGTGTCTTCATGTGGTCTTCCCTCTGAGGTGTCTGTGTCCTAATCTTCTCTTCTTATAAGGACACCAGTCGTGTTAGATTAGGGCCCACTCTAATAATGTCATTTTAACTTAATTAGTTACTTAAAGACCGTATCTCCAAATATAGTCACATTCTGAGGTACTGAGGGTTAGGACTTCAATATATGTAGTTTTGGGGACGCAACTCAGCCCCTAACAGGGCCTGTCATGGAAATCCTATAGGAACATCAAAGGAAAGAAATGAGCAATGACTTTTTTTTTCCATAAGTTTTATATCTTGCTGTGGATGAAGCACATTGGACTTTTTCCTTCCAGATGTATTATTTGGAAGTCTAGTGTGGCAGCTTTATGAAATTACCATACACTTTGGTTGCAAACAATTTATAGTTTATAGTATATAGTTATATACTACAGCAAATAATATTTGTGTGATTCAACTCAGAAATCTCTTTGTTCTTTACATAAAAAGTTTGTATTTTTTAGTGTGTAGGATTTATTGTGTGTAGTCTTCATTGATTTGGAATATGGAAGTCAATTTTTTTTATTAGAGTCTAGGTCCTAATAGAGAATTTAGGGATATTAATTTTCCTCACAATAACAATGTCAAATTTACAGTTTTGGAACTATATCAAAGAATCCTGATGTTGGAAACTTGAAAGACGTCGTGGGCAAACCGCCTTCCTCACTCACTTTAGGGAAAGCCTACATTTGTTTACTGCAGTGGTTCTCAGCTAGGGATGATTTTGCCCTTCAGGGGACATTTTGAGATATTTTTGATTTTCACAACTGGGGAAGGGGACTGGCTAAGGACCTCTAGCAGATGGAGGCCAGGGATGCTGCTAAACATCCTACAATGCACAGAACAGCTTCCCACAACAAAGAATTATCCACCTACAAATGTCAACATTACAGAGGTTAAAAAGCTCTGGTCTACGGTAACCATCCTTCTCTTACCATTGAGGCCACTGAGGCAGACTTTGCCCTGGGATTGCATTTATTTCATAGGGTTATGCCTGCTGATGTCTTACCCAAACTTACCTGTCTAGCTGAATTTGGAACCTGTGCCCTCAGCCCAACCTCTGGTTTTCTGGATTCATGATCCCCTCCTTGTCTAGACTTCTGGGTTTGCCCTTTCTCCATTTACTCTGTATCCACAGATTTCTATGTGTTTACCTCTATTAACCATGTTACCCAGAGCCCAACTGCTTTGTTCTCCTGGCTCCAACCCACTCCTGGTATCATTCATCTATTGCTGCCCATGACTCTAGTGTATTAGTCTCTGAAAACATGATTAAGTATCAGACAGGATTTATACACCTAATGAATAAGTGTGGAGGTAAAGTCTAATATACAGATCAAGGAAGAACAAATTCACCAATTATTCTCTCAACATACCTCAAGTAAAGCTTATTGTTTCTTTGGCTAAAAGTTTCACTTTCATCACTGACCACTGGTTTAGTTACCACTGGTTGATAAAA